GCAAAGCATTCAAAGCGGAGTCTTCTAAGCTTGACCTGCAGTTTTTACATACAAAACCTACTGATGAAAAACATATTTCGGCATCAACACTTTTAGGCTGAACTGTCAAAAGGTAGACATAATCCATTTGAAGATAATGACCCCTAAAATTCATTGAAATCTTCTTCAAAAAAGACTCAGACTGCAATTTGATAGTACAGTTTCAACGGTTTGTGTTAATTGCAGTCAAAACGGCATTTTACAAAAATCATACTTCAAAATTCATAAACAAATTCTTACTATCAATTCGATATTTCCAAATTTTCGGGATCCCGGGATTAATGCAAGAAAATCCCGGCATTTCCGGGACGTAAAAAACACCGGAATCCCGGGATTGGCATCCCTAGTATGCATGTCCGGAGTTTAAATAATCGGAAGTAATAATAAATTGTAGCGCATTTCCTCTTACTATGCATATGCCTAAATGTATGCAACCATTTACAATAGCAAGCAAACAGACGGCGCTTCTAATGAAAATAAAAATTTTATGCTAAAATACACATGCTAAGCGCTTCGAAATTTTGTGCTGGGATATGCGTTACAGCTTCGCAAATTTTACCCCTACCGAAACCAAAGATGTATACCAGTGGTCGGCGCTTCATACCACAATTGTGGAAGATCACCTCACACGTATTCTTACGCTCTATCGTTTAGTCGTTGGCTAGAGAGCAACGAATCGACATCGTGTCTGGCTATTGCGATTTGTTTCTTGTTTGCAAAAATGCCTTGCGAGAAATCTTACATGCTTGAAAATGCTTTTGGTGACATGCAATGCTTTTTGTGTTATATGTCATTTAAAGAATTAAAAATATGCTTTTCAAAGACATTTTGATTCTTTTCATAAGGAAACATTTTAATGAAGAAGAAATACGACGATTTTTTTAATGAAAAAAAGTTAATTTTTTTTTAAGAATTAAAGGGTGGTTGTTAAAGGGAATATATATGCGATTAAAAGACATTTTTAATAATTTCATAATGATTTGGAAAATTCTGATGAACATGAATTTCAATTTTTTTATTTAAATTTTCAATATTTGACGTGGGTCAAGGCGTATTCTATATGGTGGTATCGGTACGCCAATAACAAAATGTATGTGTATTTTGTTTTTGCTTTTGCGGCGAGGACTGTCAAAAATTTCATACGAAGGATGTGAAAGAGAACAGAAAACAATATACTATCAACTGCTCCAACCAATCAACAGAAGCCATTTGACATATGAAGCCGTGAGGCGAAGAAAAATAAAAGGGTGCTGCTATCATCTGTTAAATACGCCTTGACGTGGATGAATCCAAGGCGAATTTATATAAGGTGGTGTTACTAGCTCAGCTGATTTTGTGTATGTGTTTCGCTGCACGGCTTCTGATATCAAATTGAAAAATTTTGTTTGAATTTCTACACACACTCTTACAGATTTTGACAGTTTATGCCGCCAAAGCAAAAACAAAATACATATAAATTTTTGTTTTTGTACTCCTGCTATCACCTTATATTAATTCGCCTTGGATGAATCCAAATGAATTTTGAAATTTTTTATTTGAATTTCACTTCAATATTTTCATAACTCAAAAAACTAAAACCCCGAGAAAACCAGCTTTAAAGTTTTGAATTTACATATACTCCCAGGGAATAAATTAATACATATTCAGCTTTATCATGAGTTTCATTTTTTTTAAACCGGTTCACTTTTCAATTTTTTGTTTCCGTGAATTTACTATGCGCGGAGGAAAATTTTTTGGGTAAATTTTTTTTCGGGCGAAAACTCAGGATAAGGCTGATTTTGTTCTAGTGAGCTACTGGTAATCGTTGCAGCTATGAAATTTTTAGACATCATAAGAAGGAGCTAATGTTCATTCTTGCATACTTAACTCGATTTTTGCTTTTTTGGGATTATGATACTTTTATAGTAAATGACCGATGCACATATACATATGTACATACATAAGTATGTGTGAAATATATGTATTTATTTGTTTTTATTGAAGACCGATAAGCTAAACATTTTTTCACTTTCCTCAGTAATTTCCTACTGGGTTGCTCATGCGGAGCATTTCTCTTGTTCTCACCAACACAGTCACAGTTTAACTTTTGCCGACCCCTGATGTATAACATCAAAAATCCGGCAGGCGAACTGAGGGAACGGTAAAGTATTTTAAACTCTCGATAAATATGCGTTTCAGAAAATCTGGTTATTTCAGTTTTCTCTTACGGGTTTTAGAAGGGCGAGAACTCTCACCAGACTCAAAAATTAAGAACCACTTGAAGGATCGATCAATTTCGCGTCCACAAAATAAGCACTGTACGATAGTTAGTAAAGAAATGGTTAAAATGTTGTCCGGACTAGAAATGGCGTCGATATCTACTGCCGTTTCTGAATATCCACCGGAGCAATCAGAAGTAAGGGAGTTGCACCTCATGACTTGATACTAAAAGGTAGAGCAGTTGTTATGCTAGTCCACAACCTAAATATGTACATATGAGGGGTTAGTTAATGGTCTCGCCTAATAGTTAAGGAATTACAATGTTATTCTTTCGATGCCGCAATACAAATATGTACATATAAAGGGTTAGTTAATGGACTTTAAACATGTGATTCCAATTACACAATCCCATATAAATTAACAGCTCAGCGAATCAACACTTGAGTAGAGTACGATATTGCCCAAATACCAAGTTAAAGTAAGCTTGTCTAACCCTAAAGGCAAGCAATTATACAACGCGCTTATATGTAGAAGAAACAAACGCGATTACGCTTCTCCTGGAAAGCCTACATATTGGCCGGCAGACCCGCAAAAGTTGCCAGATCTGACTGACTTTGCGGTGACAAAGAAAATTCCTCGCGGCCTTATTAGTACAGAATCAGTTGCAGATCTCTCATCAGACCACTCACCTGTATTTTTCACCTTGTGCCATCAGCCGCAAGAAAAAGAGTCACCCTACATGCTCACGACAAGGGCTACAAATTGGTTAAAGTATAAAAACTATATCAGTGCGCATATATGTAGACCTCCACTCAAATTTAAATACGCCGACCGATATTGAAAACTCTATAGCCACTCTTGAATCTACACTTAGAGCAGCCGCTAGCGTTTCCACACCCCAGAAAGGTTATGTGCAAGAAAAAATATATAATTTAACCAATAGGAAAATTGAAATGCTTGTATTGGAAAAACGACGCCTACGACGGATATGGCAGACTCATAGATCACCAGCATCAAAACAACTTCTCAAGGCGGCCACACATGCACTGACTAGAGCCCTCAAGAACGAGAAACAGTACGCACAGTACCGGTACATCCATAAGCTCTCACCGACTAGCACAAAGCACTCGTTATGCACCAATAGAGACTGAAATTCCAGTTCGGGACCATAATGGAAAATGGGCTCGGAGTGACGCAGAAAAAGCAAACACCTTTGCTGCTCATCTAAAAAAGGTTTTTAGGCCAAACCCCGCAGCTAACTACCACCCGTACCTAATATGTCAAAATGTGTGCCGCTGAAATTTGTACCTGAAGAAATTTCAAAAGTAATTAAGGATCAACTGCAACCAAATAAGGCCCCAGGGCACGACTTAATAACCCCAAAAATGATTATTGAGCTACCAAATTGTGCTGTACTTTGCATCTGTATGCTATTTAACGCAATCACTAAACATTGTCATTTCCCTCACCAATGGAAAAAGTCGACTATTGTGATGATACCAAAGCCCGGAAAGGACAAAATACAGCCATCTTCCTATAGGCCCATCAGCCTGCTTCCGTGCATGTAGAAATTATTCGAAAAACTTCTTATGCTGCGCACCTCCCCACATCTGCAAGCCCGCAATATAATAATACTTCACCAATTTGGCTTCAGGGNGTGCGCATATATGTAGACCTCCACTCAAATTTAAATACGCCGACCGATATTGAAAACTCTATAGCCACTCTTGAATCTACACTTAGAGCAGCCGCTAGCGTTTCCACACCCCAGAAAGGTTATGTGCAAGAAAAAATATATAATTTAACCAATAGGAAAATTGAAATGCTTGTATTGGAAAAACGACGCCTACGACGGATATGGCAGACTCATAGATCACCAGCATCAAAACAACTGCTCAAGGCGGCCACACATGCACTGACGAGAGCCCTCAAGAACGAGGAACAGTACGCACAGTACCGGTACATCCAAAAGCTCTCACCGACTAGCACAAAGCACTCGTTATGGAAAGCACACCACAAGCTAAATGCGCCAATAGAGACTGAAATGCCAGTACGGGACCACAATGGCAAATGGGCTCGGAGTGACGCAGAAAAAGCAAACACCTTTGCTGCTCATCTAAAAAAGGTTTTTAGGCCAAACCCCGCAGCTAACTACCACCCGTACCTAATATGTCAAAATGTGTGCCGCTGAAATTTGTACCTGAAGAAATTTCAAAAGTAATTAAGGATCAACTGCAACCAAATAAGGCCCCAGGGCACGACTTAATAACCCCAAAAATGATTATTGAGCTACCAAATTGTGCTGTACTNAAAGCTCTCACCGACTAGCACAAAGCACTCGTTATGGAAAGCACACCACAAGCTAAATGCGCCAATAGAGACTGAAATGCCAGTACGGGACCACAATGGCAAATGGGCTCGGAGTGACGCAGAAAAAGCAAACACCTTTGCTTCTCATCTAAAAAATGTTTTTAGGCCAAACCCCGCAACTAATAATTTTCAACTTCCACCCGTACCCAATGTGTCAAAATTTGAGCCGCTGAAATTTGTACCTGAAGAAATTTCAAAAGTAATTAAGGATCAACTGCAACCAAATAAGGCCCCAGGGCACGACTTAATAACCCCAAAAATGATTATTGAGCTACCAAATTGTACTGTACTCTGCATCTGTATGCCATTTAACGCAATCACAAAACATTGTCATTTCCCTCACCGATGGAAAAAGTCGACTATTTTGATGATACCAAAGCCCGGAAAGGACAAAATACAGCCATCTTCCTATAGGCCCATCAGCCTGCTTCCGTGCATGTAGAAATTATTCGAAAAACTTCTTATGCTGCGCACCTCCCCACATCTGCAAGCCCTCAATATAATAATACTTCACCAATTTGGCTTCAGGGAAAAACATGGGACAATCGAGCAAGTAAATCGCATAACAACCGAAATCCGAACAGCGTTTGAAAAGAGGGAATATTGCGCTGCAATATTTCTTGACGTCGCCCAGGCATTTGACCGCGTCTGGCTAGATGGTCTTATGTATAAAATACAAATGCTACTCCCACAAAGCACACACAAACTGCTTAAGTCATACCTTTATAATCGAAAGTTTGCAGTTCGATGTAACACCACCATTTCTGAAGCCCATGCAATCGAAGCTGGAGTGCCACAAGGCAGTGTCCTTGGCCCGATGTTGTANTTTGACGTCGCCCAGGCATTTGGTCGCATCTGGCTAGACGGTCTTATGTATAAAATACAGATTCTACTCCCACAAAGCACACACAAGCTGCTTAAGTCATACCTTTATAATCGATGCAGTTCGATGTAACACCACCATCTCTGAAGCCCATGCAATCGAAGCTGGAGTGGCACAAGGCAGTGTCCTTGGCCCAATGCTGTATGTCTTATAATAATAATAATAATAATAGATTGGCGCTTACACATATGTTAGTGTTTGGCCGAGCTTCTCCTCCGACTTAAGGCGTGCGCCTTGATGTTGTCACACAAAGCGGAGGGACCTACAGTTTTATGTCGACTCCGAACGGCGATTTCATGTTTATGAGAAGCTGTTTTAAGTTAAGAAAAACCCTTTTTCTATTTTTTTTGCTCTGTTGCTTTGACCAGGGCTTGAACTCAGGTACTGCTGAGTGAAAGCGAGCACTGCTTACCACTACACCACAGCGGCCGACCTGTATGTCTTATACAGCGCGGATATTCCTACAAACGACCGCCGGATAATGTCCACTTTTGCCGATGACACTGCCATAATCAGTCGCTCCAAGTGTCCTCTACAAGCAACTGCGCTCCTAGGCAATCATATGGAATCTGTTGCCAATTATCTCGCAAACTGGCGAATAAAGGTGAACGAGAAAAAATGTAAGCAAGTTACATTTACACTTAATAAGAGTAACTGTCTGTCCTTGACTTCGAACAACGTACAAATACCACAAAGCAATCATGTCACTTACCTAGGGGTCCATCTGAACAGGCGACTTACTTGGCGAAACCACATAGTGGCTAAAAGGACTCATCTCAAGCTGAAGGCTAATTCTCTCCACTGGCTTATTAACTCTCGCTCACCCCTGAGTCTGGAGTATAAAGTGCTTATTTACAATACAGTTTTAAAACCGATATGGACCTATGGATGTGAGTTATGGGGAAACGCGAGCAGCAGCAACATCGAAATCCTTCGTCGTGCGCAATCTAAAATCCTTCGAACAATCACCGGAGCACCTTGGTATATGCGAAATGAGAACATTCACCGCGACTTGAGAATACCAGAAGTACGAACCGAAATAGAACAACGGAAGACGAAATATGTTTCGAACCTTTTAGTGCACCCAAATCATTTAGCAAGATCTTTATTGCGAGTCAACAGGACCTCAAGACTACGTAAGAATGACTTACCAGCCCAGTCGTAACCTTTTCTTAGGGCCAGTTAAGAAAATACTCATCCCAACTAGGGGATGTAAATTAAGTGAATTGATTAAGATTCGAAAACTTATTGTTAGGCTCTTAGGCAGGCCAGATTCAATAAATAAATAAAAAAATTTAAAAAAAACTAAACTAACAAAAGCAATGCATGTGGTTTTTAGAATAAAGAAATAATCAGGTTTTTTAGAACACGGAGCACGGCGATTTTCGGGGATTATTACTAGTGATTTATAAATCTGATATCTTTGTGCAAAGTTTCAGATCGAATACTTTAAATTGATATGTAAGTTGTCTCTATACGATTATACTTAGATATATAGATTTATAATACATATGGGCAATTTCACCGTCACGGGTGGGACATTTGAACATAAACAGTTGTTGTTTCTTGTTCAAATTTAAGTATAAAGTACTGAACACTTCTACATTTTGATAAAGCTACACCTAATTGACTATTATACAGGGTGTCCCAGAAGTAACGTGCCAAACTTTAGGGGAAGGTAGGTGGGGGGGGTGAGCTCCCTGATAAACAAAAAATTTCCAGGTTAAAGTGTCACCGTTTTTGAAATATTTAAATTTTTTGAATTAAAACAAATTCGTGCCTTTTCATGTATTTTCTTTAACTGCATCTACAAACCAGGCTATACTTAGTAAATCTTTTATTTAAAATACTTCCAGATAGTTGCTTCTCCATACTCAAATGCAATGTAGTTAAAATATATTAAGGAACCATCATAAAATTAGGACTATTTTGGGATTTTTAACTTTTTGATATTTTCTTCTTCCCCAACTTTGACTATCTCTGGTGAAAAAAAATGTACTGAGCTATAACTTTACATTACATAAAAAAAATGTTCATTTAATAAAGATATCAGAAAAGTGCCACTCTTACTGTTTCGAATAGAAAAAAAAGTTATAGCCGCTTTTGTGGGCAAAGGACTGAGATACGCTAGAATGTATTTAATAGATTTAAATTTAAGTTGCTCT